TTTTTTTTTCGTAAGGAGAAATGATCGTAAGACAGAGGCAGGCGAGTTACTCTCGAACTTCCTTCAAGTTCAGCCTTCTCATCAGCACATTCTGAAATTTAGGTTTCTAGGACCTCCCTGAAGAAGATTTACATCATTTCTTCTCTCTGTCGTGTTTTACAACATGTTTCACATCTGTTTGCAAAGAGAAGTAACGCCAGTCGATGCATAAATTTCGAGATTGCTCAAAGTCTGCCAGCGATTTCTCCGTGAAAGAAATTGAAAAGATTCTCAGTTCGAACGAGTTGGTATCACGTTGGTGCTTTCAAAGTTCTTTCGATCTTTTCACTTTTTTCGTACCTTTCGCTGTCTTGGAGGAATAAAGCAGTAGTTCGAGTCGCACTCGGAAGTTCGGACGTAATCGGTGCAAGTGGGTTTCGAAAACGGGTTCCAGTGAACGGTATTTCAAGCAGCTATGCTTTCCAAGAAAATGCAAAAAGAAATTCGATTTTTTCAAGAGACTTTTATCCAGCTTCCAGTCGCTGGTTTCCGCTCCTCGTGTCGTTCGAACATGTTTGTTTTTCGAAGCATTAACAACGCGATTGGAACGTCTCGCGAGCATTATTTCGCAAAGTCACACATATATCGCCGTGGGTTTTCCTACCATCGCTGAAACTTGCCGCGGACTTTTCTGTGCGTGCGCGCGAAATACGATTTTCTTTTTTTGTTTCTTTTTTTCTTTTTCTGATATCTACCGCACCGTGAAAGTGTCTCTGTGGAATTAACTGTCGGAATTATTCAGGATTGTGTGCAGACGGAACGACGTAGGGATTTTTGCAGACAGTTTAACTCTTGATATAATTAACAGGATGGAACGATCTATAATATTCGTCGGGTTCTCGATTCTTTCGGAAAGAATTTTTTTCTTCTTTTTTTTTCTTTCTCTTTGTAGTGTAAAAAGTACAGACAATTCAGAGCTCGAATTCGTAACGTAAATTTGAAGTGGATAGATTAGCTAGCAATTTATTTAATAATATAGTACCAACATAGTATTTTGCTTACTTAATACGAGAATAGCTGCTTGACAATTTTTGTAAAATTCGAGAGAGGTGAAGTACACTCTTGATATTTTCAGAAACTTTTATTATCTAAATTCCGTTAAATGTTCTGCATAATCCTGCAACAACGCAGAAACTCGATCACAGTGTCAGGAGAATATCTCATTTACTTAAATTACCGATACTTGTTACACTGATATTTCTATAATAACTGGAACAATCACTGAAAATTTCCTTCAATCCTTTTTTTTTTTTCAAACGTCATTTCAGCAGATCAACAATGTAGAAATATTACCAATAGCCGATCCCCATTTAATTTTCGCGTGTTGAACGTTTAAATCGAGAAACATATTGGCGATTATAGAGGCCATTGGAAAGGACAGTCGAATTCAACTGAAAACAAGAGCCGAGCGGAATGGAATTGTTTGTTTCTGTTGGCGATTTAGCCTAGACTTAGTACAATATTTAATGATCACTAATCTCTTTGAAACACCGCGTCGTATTTGAATCTCGAATTATTCAAATAGCGGGCATTACTCGTACTCTCGCGGGCATTTACTGCGCGCGTGTTTGTTCGAACGAAATGTTTGCGCGCTAAAACGTTCGGATAATGCGAGATCCTGACTGAAATCCGGGTTTCAAATCTTTCGAGTCGACGTTCGTCTATTTTTTTTTTTTTTTTTTTTTTTTTTTCTCTCAAACTCTGTCACTACGACCACGCGCAGCGTGGAATTGTACCACAACGCTAGGTGTCTCGTAAATCTAACGAGGCGATTTAAGAGAGAGAGAAATGCGCATCTTCGCGCGTTAGATCTTATTAGATGATATTTAACTTTAACGGTGTGAAACGACTGCAATATATTGTAATTGAGATATTTTTGCAAATATATATTTTACAGAGGACTTTTCACAATAGTGCGATGCGTACGGGGTTGAATCATCTTTCGCACTGCGAGATCATGTCTGACGATACTGCGACAACTAATTCACGTAGCAATCGGTAGAGAGAGTTTTATAATAAAAGAATCGCACGTGATTGCATAGGGCGAAAGATTTCAATCACGGCTTCGTCGCAACGACTCGTAGTCGTAGACTACTGTAAATTAATATTGTCGAGAAATGTTAGTTCGAACCTGTACCCTTCGTTCCCCTCTTCGATCCGTCTTTTGGTTGAAACTCGTGTCTCAACGCCTCGAGCGTGTCGTCGTTATTTTCGTTCTGGCAGGTTGCACGATCAATCAATCGTTGTTTATCGGCTGTGTCCAACGATGCGATATTCTTCTGATTCCGACATAGGCGAACCGATACATTATGCCCGAGCCTACAGTAAGCTCGCGACTTACACGAACGCGCAGCGGATTCGAGAATTTATACAAATTCCCGGCGGGGTGAGGCGAGGTGAAAATTATTTTTAACTCTATCTCCGTCCATTTGCGTGTTTCGTGTTCACTAGGTGAAACAAGGCGAGGCACCTGGTCTTTCGCGGACGTAAAAAATAAATCGACGAATTCCAACCTCTCGATATCATCCTACACAGATAGAGAGAGAGAGAGAGTTTCGCAAGTTAGATCAGCAGCTCAGGTTTATATTTCATTGGTATCTAAAGGGCGAGGAAAATTTTTTTTTCAAGAGTATTAAATTGGTCCTGGAGTATTGGTCGTATCGGAGAGACGATTGGAAATAAATCGTTCGTTTTCTCGCGAAGCCGTTTCTCTCTCTCTCTAGTTTTTTCGTTCTCCCTCCGAGCAACTAATAATCTTCTCTCCATTGCAGCGAATCTCTTTTCACGCGGCTATCACCTGGCAGAGGGAACGGAGCCAGAGGGTGGTAAAACGTAGCCGGGGAGGGTTGATTGTGTCGCATCTTTGGTAGAATCGTCGCCGACAAAAGAGAGAGGAAACTACGGTCCCTAAAACAGTTTCTATGACAGTTGTATACGGCTGTTCCGTTGAATCTATTACACATGTATCACTCCACTCCTCTGTGTACTCTCGGTATACGTACGCGAACACGGAACCTCGAAATGCAGTTGGAATAGTAGAGATACGAGAGAGAGAGAGAGAGAGAGAGAGAGAGAAAGGGGGGAGGCTGAGAGATACATCGGTATTCACCGACTTTCTTTATCCTAGTTTCTGCCATCCTTATACAGAGCTTCATGTTCCCTTGACGTAACTCTTTCTCTCTCTCTCATTGTACTCTAATTTCGCAGAGCGCAGTTGCCGAGAAATATAACGCGGTGATCGATGTCGGGTATGCAAATGTCTCTCTCCCTCTCTCTCTCTTTCTCTCTCGTTGCAAAGATCTTCCTGTGTTGGTTAGAGCACACTGAAAAGAGATCCATCCATCCTGTCTTTCA